AGGCCTTAGCTATTAGGGCACCAGCAGAGAGGGAGAAGAGGGCAGAGGGTGAGCCTCGCACCCCCTCATTCACTGGGGTGGCCCACCTTTCCCAGGGCATCTGGTAGCCTCATGTAAATGGGAGCCGGCGCACAAAGGCAGCGAATAATTGCCCATGAAAGCGGCTGTATATTTTTATGGCTCTGATGCAGAGTCTGCCCCCCTGTTGAGCGTTACATCTGCTCCATCTTCCCTGGTTCCCAGTGCGCTGAGACTTTCCGACACAGTGTATAAGGCTCAGAGGTCTTTTGCTGGGCTCTTTGTGCTGCTGCAGTGTGGTGTGTGCTCCATTTCTGCTGTGAGCGCCCTGGAGAGGAGGGCAGCGCAGGTGGGTCAGTAGAGAGCACTTTGGCTGCAGGGCTCACCCAGAGCAGGGGAGAGAGGGGCCTGTGCTTTATGGGGCAGCCTGCGCAAGTGCTCCCCGCTCCCCCTCTGCCCCCCAGCATCTCCACCAGCCTCCATACACAAAGGCTTCTTCTCAGAGGACTTTCACCACCTCCCTGAAGTCTCCAGACCAGTGAGTGCTCGGATCTAGAACGCCTCCTTTCCAAGAGGGATGATGGCTGGACCCCAGAACACCCCCTAATCTGCCCCATGTGAAACTCTTGCTGAAGGGTGGGCGTGGGTGGTGGGCTGAGAGATCACTGTGTCGACAAGATGCACGGTGAGCCGTTGCTTCAAAAGCCCTGTTAGCTTGGGGAGAAGCTCATTTTTAGCTCATGAGCTGAATCCAATTTCCATTGCCAAGATACCAGATTTTTCACTTTGATTCGTACTGGCTAAGGTTGAAGAGGGAATCTTCCCAATGCAGTGAACCCAAGATTTCCCCCCTCTCTCGTGGTCCTTCACGCCTAGGGCTAAGTATTTGTACCTTGTCCTCAAATCACTGTGACTCCTTGCCATTGGTCCTCAGGAGTGGTCTGTTCATGTGCTTATTAAGAAGCCCTGGTAGCACTGTGCTGCTCCCTATAAGGTCAGTGGTTCAAACTCACCAGCTGCTCCATGGGAGAGGTGAGGCTGTTTACTCCCATAAAGATTTTTGTCTCAGAAACTATATAGCATTGCTGTGAGTCAGAATCAACTCAAAGGCAGTGAGTGGGAAGGCAGTGAGTGGGATTTAGTTTGGGGGGATGTGTTTATTGATCTACTGTTCAACTAGAAAAAAAACAGACTTCATTTTAGGGATTCATAAATGTTCTAAGTTTACCTGGGAACTCATCTTTTGAACAGTTTCCTAATAAGACGTGCTTCAGAGATCTGGCAAGGTGAAGGGTCGATGACTTAGAGCATTACTAATTGAAATTCTATCTACAAAGTCAACAATCTAAAACTACCAGGGACTCTGCAGAAGAAAGATGAGGCTCTCTACTCCCATAAGGAATTATAGTCTCTGAAACCCACAGGGACACTTCTACCCTGTCCTATGAGGTCGCTAGGAGTCAGGATCAACTCAATGGCAGTGAGTTTGTTTTGTTGTTTTTGTTTTTTTATAGTAACCTAGGAGGTGCCCTGGTGGTGTAGTGGTTTATACATTGGGCTGCTAACTGCAAGGTCAGCCGTTCAAAGCCACCTGCCATTTCAGTGAGGCTTTCCAATGCCATACAGAGTTACAGCCTCAGAAACCCACCATGGCGGTTCTAGCCTGCCCAGTATAGTCCCTGGGAGTTGGAATGCACTTGATGGCCGTGAGCTTGGTTTTTGTACTCCATTCTAGCCCTGGAGTTGACACTGTGAGGTTGCCTTTGGTATTTTGTGTCGGATGTAATCAACATGTATTGATCAGGTACTGAAGAAGGAAATGCCTGCACTGGGGCATTGACAGGTTTCATGGTAACATATGTATTTCAGTGTGTGAGTGTGTATACACATACATATATATATGGCTTCAAAAAACCTGTGAAAAAATGAAATGAAAAGATCATGGACTATTTGAAGCCCAGTGTGTGTGTGTGTGTGTGTGTGTGTGTGTGTGTGTAATAAAACAAAGGAAGGAAAGGAGAAGGGAGAGATGGATGGAGGAAGAGAGAACTTGGGGGCAGAAAACGACGGGAAGAGGAAGGTAACAAGGAAGGGAGGGGTGGGGAGCATGGGGGTGGGAGGAGGAAGGGAGGTGGGAAGAAAGGAGAAGACAAAGAGAAGCAAGGTGAGAAGGGCTCTGAAGCCAGGATGACTCCCTGGGGACTTCCCAAAGGGGCCCCCTCCCCACCCTGTCCCCATCAACACAGAGCTTCAGCCAACCAAAGCCCCACCTGGGCAAGCCAGACTGCCCTGTACCAGGGGTCCAGAGTTTGACCAATCCAGCCTCTTTCTTTTGCCCGAGGGTACTTGTCTTCCAAGAGACACTTTTCAATCCCAGAAGGGTCGTGCAGTTTTTCAGGTGTTTCTCTAAGCAAAGAATTCCTCAGTTGTACCTGACTGCAAGTCCCATGTTCCCCAAGGAGATGCTCTGGGGGGACTTGTCACAACTGGTCCTGTGTCAGGCATTTTCTCCCGGTGCCCAAAAGGGCCCAAGGTAGAGCCCTGACTCTCCACTCTTCCAGTGCCGGCTCTCCTTGCTCTGTGCTAAGCTTCTGTTTCACATTTTTTCTCAGCACTGAAATCCTCCAAGAATTCTTGTGGAAGCTCTTTGTCACCGACCCTGGGGGAGCATGTCTCACTCACTGGGTGATCTCGGATAGATCAGCACAATTGCTCAGGCCCCTCATCCGGGTGACCAGCTGCTCCACCAGATTGTGAGGGTTTTTTCTGTTTTGTTTTGTTTTCCCCATCTTTATTTTGACATCAGGGCTCTCCTGTGAACACTTGATGTTTTAGCGGTGGTGAGAGAAATGGGGAGCAACACCAGCCTCACTTGATTTTTGTTCCCCCAGTCCTGAAAGAAGCATCTCATACTGATTCCTCCCAGGCTGTTAGGCAACTGGGGGTCTTTTTGACTTTGCCCACTCAGAATTACAAGCATGTTTGCAGAAACAGAGGCAGGGCAATGGTGCCTGGACCGAGGCTGGCCAGCCGAGAGTCAGATGGCAGCGCACACATTGTCCTTAGTCACTATATAGCCTTTCTGGTCTTTGGAGACCCAAACAGGTAGGGTGATTCTGGCTTGGTCCTATTATCATTCCAGCATTTGTGCTCCCTGGGGAAGAAAGCTCACGTGATACAGAACCTGAAGCAGGCTTGCTGTTCGCCATTCAGGAACACACACAATGCCCATCACAGCTCATCGGTCTTTACTTCGGGTTCAAGGGTTCATTTCCAGGTGACACAGAATAAGGATGTCGCCTGTGCAAATTCTCACCCACTCATCTCCCTTCCAACCCCTGCCACCCACCAAGCTAAACCCACACCAAACACGATGCTATAGAATTGATTCCAGCCCTTGGAGACCCTCTGGGACAGAGTGAGACGGCCCCATAGTGTGAGATGGCTCCACAGGGTTTCCAAGACATTCATCCTGGTTGCCCTGTGGAGAAGCTGGGGCGCTCAGGAGGTTCTAAGCACTGACCTGGCTAGTAGCTGAGTGCTGATTCGTCCACAAGCATGCTATGACCCCGGTGCTCACTTAGATGGCTGCTTGTTTTAAGACCAGCCTGCAAGCCTCCAGGTGCTATTCTTTCTGAAAGCCAGTCACCATCTGCATTCTCCACCATGCTTTGCTGTGGCACCCATATCTTCAGTGATCTTTTCATGGGGGTGAGTATGAATACCGTGTCATAAGAACGAATCGTCTTAAATTGGTACCTGGATTCATAATTAGCTGGGGGCAGGACAGGGGAGGTTTGCAGGGAAATGGGGCACAACGAATGATGAGTATGAGAAGACAATGTTCTCCGATTGATTGTGGTGATGACTGCACATCTCTTGTCAATATGATTGAATGAGTAAATTGTATGGTGGGCAGGGTATATGCCAATAAAACGATTCCTTAAAGCATTAAGAAAACCCTCCAGTTAGGGGAGCAGGGTGAGAAAGGGAACAGGTGGGTGAGCTAGTCTGTCCGTGTCTGGCCTGACCACAGCCCTTGCCTTGCTCAGTCACGTCACCACACACCCATCCCAGTGTCAAGTGTGCAAGGAACGGACCCTGGCTGAAAATACGGTGTCCCACCGAGCTGAGGGGGCTTGGGCAGGCGTAACGATGCATGCTTGGGGACGAGGGGCCTGCAGTCACTGGCAGCTGGAGGAGACAGAAACAACAGTGGCACATTCTTCCCTCCTCAAAGCCAACATGCGGTGAGGGGTGAGGTGCTCTGCCAAGTAGAGAATTCCTTGGACTGTACCCATGGGGTGCACTGGGTGAGATAGGATAGAGGGCTTGCTTTCCTGGAGGATTTCCTAAACCATTAGCACAGCTCCCCCGCAGGTCCTAAGTCCCTAAAGTACATTCCCAGAAAATGCCAGCTGCCGGGTGCGATAGGCCCAGACCCGGCAGGCGGCCACCCTAGGTGGTGGGCTAGGTGGGTTCATGAAAGCCATGGACCTTGGGTTTACTGCTCTGGGTGAAAGGGTGCTGCTACAGGTTGCCGGTGGTCCACCAGCGCTGCCCCAGACTCAGACACACACAAAGGAGGAGGGGGTCTAATTGGTGGACACATGGAATGGAACGATGAGGGGATTTTTCCACGGAGTCTTTGGTGCCCCACACACCGCACGGTTGAGAAGGCATTGAGGGCCTGCTTTGCCGCCTGCGTTCTGTCTTAACGGAGCAGTGTCCCTGAGTGACGCGGCCGCTTCTCCCGCTGTGGAGGAGGACTCTATGTATGTGTTTGTCGGCTACCTTGTGTGCTCCGGCTCAGGCACAGCACTCCGAAGCCCACCGGACTGTCCTCTCCAGAATAGGCGTTGGCCTCCACGCTCCTGTGCACACGTAGACCTCAGACCCCGCCCCACTAGAAAGAGGCTGGGGGTGGCCTAGGGGTAGATTGCAACTGACCACCCTGCCTCTGCTCTCTTCTCTCCCCGCAGTGCCTGGCTTTCCGTATCCAGCGGCCACCGCCGCGGCAGCCTACAGAGGCGCGCACCTGCGTGGCCGCGGACGCACCGTCTACAACACCTTCCGGGCCGCCGCGCCTCCACCCCCCATCCCGGCCTATGGAGGGTAAGTGGTCCTGACAGTGGGTCCAGCGCACAGCCTGCCCTGCCCACGATTGCCCAGAGGCACGGGTGTGTGAGTGCATGCAGGTCTTGACGCCACCCCGCTCTAGCGACTGCACCCCAGGACCACCCAGCATGCAGCCCCCACCCGTGTGCGTGCAGGGTAGCACCTTACTGGGGGGGTGCTGGAAAAGCAGGTGCCATTTACCCTCTCGTGCTTGGTGTCTTGGAACATCCTGTGTCACGTGTTCTTGTGGAGATGCGCTCTGAGGCTGGATGCTGGAGAACCGGCAAATTGGCACAACCTGTGTTGTGTTTCTGATGGTGGCACGTGAGCTTCCCAAGGAGGTTGGCCTGCAGCTGGCTTCTGAATTCACCACTGACCCGGTGCGCCACTCTCCCCAAAGACAGCTTGTCCTACCGGGTTTACCTCTGCCCCTGTGTGTAAGGAATTGAGGATGTGAGCATTGTGTGAAAGGCTAATGATTAGGAGTTCAATGTCACTGGAAGGGAGATTGGTTTTAGGTGGTGTTTCTGCGCCCTGCGTTCTTCCCGCTGTGGGGAAACCGCTGATGAAGTTGCCCCTACGTGTTGCCTTGTCCCCTCTGGGCATGAGCTTTGGGTTCTCTCTGGTAGGGGCCAAGTGAGTGGGTGAGCTCCCAGTGAGACCCTGGAATGGTGGCTTTGGGCAAGGAGTCTTCGTGGTGCAGTGGGTTATGCATTGGGCTGCTGACTGCCAGGTCAGCAGTTTGAAACCGGCCATTCCCTCAGAAGACATTTTTGTAAACTAATGACGCTGTCTGATCCAGTTCCCGAAACCTACAGGGGGCTACAGGGCCCTGTCAATCAGAAGGGACTCAGTGGTACTGAGGGAGTTGTAGATGTTGCAGCACCACCCTGTCTCAGAATACATTCCAGAGTTTTTCCTAGCTTTCCATTTGTTTTCAGTATGATTTCTTATGCCGATTCTTGCCAGGTTTTAAGATCCCACCCCCAAAACTCCCAATGGAGAGAGTGCATCTATAAAAAGTAATTCTTAAGCTTTTTTGAGAGGCAAGAGAGGAGGGGGGTTTTCACAGATATCTTTAAAAAAA